ATATCCCTGTTCTCAATAGAAAACCATATAAGCTCCCATGGTACACTATGCGTCTAAAGAAGCTTAAGAATCTTATACTATGTCTCCATTGCGAGATTTATCCATTAAGATTTAATAAATCCAGTTGCTAAATCACAACCGTCTCCATTACCACAACGACATATGTTTGACGTTCACAGTTTTAAATATTTGACGTTTGTTTATGTATGATTTTATAAATACAGTTTCGGACATTGATATACAGACAGATACAGGAAGGTACCAAGCGGAATTTCATTATATGAATTCTGAATATTATTGGCTTCTTATTCGTGATAAATATGTATGTAGAATATATAGTTTGGAAAGTGTAAAGAATGGTACCATATTCCGAATCATATTCCCGAATTTAAGAAAAATTATCAAAACGGTAAAAAACATTTGCGGAAAGAAAAATTTTTGTAGAATTCTCTTATTCATAGGAGGGAACCGAAAATCCAATCGTGCGCTTTTGGCATATCATGAATACGAACTGAGTTCTGGAGGATGTTCGGGGCAATGTTATCGAAGCAGAACCATTACCGAAATTTATAAATTTTTTGTCGCAGCGCGTAAATGACTTATAGAAAGCGGAGAAGACTCTGCATGATACCCTGCAAAAATCGCGACTACTCTATGCATGCGTGTAAAGAGTACTCCCTAAGGACCAAAGAGTACTCCAAAATTAACCACAATTCATATAAAAAATATGGTCCAATTAACATTGCGATGTCCTAGGGCAGGACCATATACTCCATCCCTGCATTACATCAGAGTAGCACAAAACTACTCCAACATATTAACAATGGGCATTGTTGTTATATTTTTTCGTTTGTACACGCTTTTGTTCTTCACTTCTCAAATGCTTTTTCGAAATTAATAAAAACCAAGACAAAAATTAAAAATTACATGTTGGCTCTGACGGTATTCGAACCCGAACATGCTGGGAGCTAATAACTAACAGCGAGCATCTCTACACGTTCAGCTACAGCCAGACATGCAAATGTGCTTTCAAATGCTCAACTTCAATCACGTTTCGTTAAAACACGAGCAGTGATCGGATAACAAACAATAAGCTGGCGCAGAGACACGAGTTGGTCCGCTACAGCATGGCAGAGGAACACTTTTGTAAGTACTCCAATTTACCACAAATAGAGTACATGGTCCAACGATTTTTGCAGGGTATTACTATAAAACATTTCTTCTAAATTTTTAGTTTTTAAAATAATATTTTCTTAATTTATTACACCCAAAGTTATGTAAATATGTATTACTAATTTTCCTCCCAAACTAACAAAAATATAAAAATCCCTAAAAATACGAAAATTCATGTTTTCATGATAGGCTAGATTTCAATGTCCTCAACTGTATATTGAAAACACAAATGTCATTTGACTTATGGCATGTGAATTTGTGGTTGCCACATCCAACAAATTGTACTTATTGATCAATATTATTGAAGATTTTACGAAGATTTAACTTAAATCTACTGCCTTTCGAGATTTAATTTTATATGGTAAATCTCTAAAGATTTAACGTCAAATCTCGTCAGAGGGCTAAATCTTCATTAAATCTCACAATGGAGACATAGTATAAATGTTAAAAAATGTGACTTTGAATTGGTGTAAATGTCCATGTGTACAATTTGTTTTATGTCCGTTGGAGTTTCAGTCATGTGGAATTTAGCTCTGATAGGATTACGATCAAATTTAGATTTACTGCAAATAACACAATTACTAATATATTTATTTATTACGGTTTTTAAATTAGGATTATAAATTAATTTTTTTAAACCCAAGTAGTTTTCATTTATACCCGTATGACTAGTTTCATTTTTATGATAATTATGAATTTGCCTATAAGCCTCTTCCTCCGATTCTATATCTTTGGCATGATAAGAGCAACGAACAAATTTGATATCACTAATTCCTCTATATAATTCTAATATTTTGTTTTGCAAAATTATATACTGATGATCGTCCAGCTCTGTGTTTATACCTATTTTACCTTTAATTATATATTTATTTTTAAATTTCTTCTAAATTATTTTCTAAGTCAAAAGAACTAACAAAAATTTGTGTGTTTCTATGCTTTATATCCACTTCTTTTAATTTATTATTTGTTAAAATAATTTTTATTTTGAATCTATTGACTACAGTATCTAAAATGGGAATATGGTCAT